CTTGCCATTTCCAGTCCATGCACCTGTTTTCAGGCTGCCATTCTGCTAAAACGAAGTAAATGAACTGTCCAGTGCCAGGTGACCAGGTACCAGACAATTACTAGAGGCTTTCAGAGAACACAAGATACTCCTTGTAAATACTCTGCATAATTTGTGCTGTCCTGATAGTAGGCATTTATATAGATAGGAAAAAGGTGTTGACTGACTTCCTGTGATAACAGGGTGCTATAGAAGAAAAAATACAACTCAGAGTGTAGGATGTACTCCTGAACCACTAAGTACAGTGTCTGTGCATCCCTATGAGTTTCATAAATGGCTGATCTTTCTCAGAAAGCTGGACTGCACAAATGTATACCCAATAAGAAGGGAGGTGGTGCTTTATTCTTTACAATTGAACTGTACCTTTCTCTGGCACTTGCATTTTCAAGGCAAACCCATACAACATTTCTAGCTTCCTGCACCCCTTACTTTAAGCTTATCCTTTCAAATAATGTCTATCAGGGTTGAAAATCCTCTTTGAAAAATGTGTATTTGTATGCATACTTTCAGTCCTTCCTATTTTGAAGTGAACCACGCAGGGTCAGAGAAAGACCTTTGTATAAAGCAGTGTTATTTCTTGGGCCAATACAATTCTTACCAATATCATCCTGTGAGCAAAGTTGCCACCGAACTTTTACACTAAGCCAGGGGTGCAAAAGAGGCGCTCCTCCATCCATTTTTGAACTCCATCTGCACCTAAAGATGGCAAGGTTGGGGATAACTGGTGTTTTATTCTACCAACCTCTGGGGATCCACCGGTTGTACTGGATGGCATCTTTTTCCAAAACAAAACACAATTCTAAGTGACAGGAGGTATCAAACATTTTGCATGGGATTAAACACACTGATGTTACAGTGGATTCAATTTCCCAGCTGTGTTAGATAGCAACATAGGAAACTTAAGAGAGACAATAGTTACATTTTTAGGCTGGGACAGTTCATTATTAGGGAAAGCTGATAGCCTTTCAACAGAAAGCGTTGCAGGCTGAGAATGTGCTCTGGAGACAACGGTGCATGAACAGCTTGGGAAACAGACTTTGTTTTGCTTGGATTATGTAAGGATGATTTATCTCAGAGTCTCAAATGGACTCTCCTTTCCTGCACCTTTTTAACTTGCCTGTAATGTTACCTGCCAGAAACTGCTATGCTAAAATTCAGAAGTCCCTTGTATATTTTTTCCTATGTAACAGGAGTGTTCTCTGCCACAGTTTACAAATAAATTATGAATTTATATGGCCATATCAAATTTGAAGTCCAGAAATATGAACTTTAGGCTTCAACTAAAGCTTATTTTGAATAGAAAAAGGAATCTGGAATAGAGGAATGCAAAACAAACAAGTTATATTGTGACACAGGAAAATCCAATATACTCTGATCTTGTTGCTTTCCAAAAGTGTATTAAATTAGTTTGGATCGAGATTAAACAACAGGTGATCTGGTATTCTTAAAACACATTTCTTATTATTTACTACATGGGGATTTTTAAAGAAACTTAAAGTAAAGGTGCATATAAATAAACTCTTCTGTAGCTGAAATGCAGAGCTTGCCAGCAACACCTGCTGCAATTCAATACATAGGAATGTAGATTTCAAGTCATTCTTTTCATTGTGTTTGTTTTTATATTCTGAGTGGAGATATGAAAGATAAAGTACTGAGTTGTATATTAAGACAGATGTTGTGGAGGGGGCGTTCCAATCCACATTGCAAGAAAAGGTATACGGGTTTTAAACATAACAAGCAACTGGTAGTTCAGCAGTTAGTTTTACGATTATAGATTTTGCTCATAACAGGTTTTATATAGGCATGCCACCTATTATTGCCACATAACATAAAATCTCACTTGAAAGCTCTGAATAAATGAGGCACTATTATGTTCCATTATTCTGGTTGGAAGAGAGATTTTAGGCTGCAATTCCATATATACTGACCTGAAAGTAAGTTCCAGTTAACTTACTTCAAAGAACATATATATGATTGTCCAGTTAAACATATACTTCACTATCTTACTGAAAGACAACAGTATTTAAAAAGCATAAGATTGACTGGTTCATGCCCTTTATTTTCTGTGAAAATATAGTATACTATTTACACCTTAAAATATGCAGTATCTGTTGAAAAATTCTTATAATTAGCATAACTACACTTTTCTCTACAACAGCAGCATAAGTCAGAAAGAACTTGACCATTAGTCATTTATGGTCTGCTAATCTCTGATCAGACTGCAATAAATTCATGCTTCTAGCCTAATAATGAACTACCTGAACTTTTTACCAAAGTTGGATTTAACCCCTTCATGTTTTGATGTCACTATTTTAGTATCTGTGAAACAGGAATTTATATTTTCCTTTAAGATAAAATAGGCATTTTGCATCTTAACTTTATTACCTACTTTAAATATGTTTATTCATTTGATTTTGCTGCACTGATCCCAATTTCTTAGGAGATAAGAGAAGAGCTTATTGGTAATACTTTAAACTCCAATCAATCACAACTCTTATCTGTTTAAGGCCACTGTTTCCTTTGGATTGAGACCATCCTCTAAGCACGGTTTGAAGCCATGAATATATGAGCTATGAAAAAAAATTCTGGACAATTTTCTTTTCAAAACTTTAAATGCTTAAGAATGAAAGGGAGAAAGATATGGATATATATCACTTTAGATATAACATTTTAGTGATGGAGGCATTCTACATTGTGAGAAAAGCACTGATACTATTTATGGGGAATTCCTGTGCATGTTTTGGAATAAATGTAATCAAGACATCTATTCTCTTATCATTTTCCTACAATATTCATTTTTTCTTCATCATAAGGTAAGCATACATTACTACAAAGGTATAAAACTGCTATTTCAGATAGGACGCTTCTATAGCCAAGCTAAAATCAGGTCAACTGATGCTTTTCATAGCTTTCTTCTCAATGTTTTAATCAGAAATATATTGGATTTTGTACACATACAGAATATGGAAACACTTGTCCGTGGAGTTTCGAATTATAATCTCTTCACTGGGAAATGCACATGGAGCAGATTTAAAGAAAGAAAAGTCCTTTAAAACTCTGCTTGAAGTTACAACATGCAAGTACTTTTTTAAATTACAGATATTATTGAAGTTTGCAGTTTATTTAGCTAAATTAAAATCTATTTCAGACTGTTTTTAAATTTTAGCAACAGCACAATTTAGCTGCAGTCATTACAAAATTGTGAAAGTGAACTTCTGAAAACATTTTGCTGTATCTTCATTCATTCTAGTTAATATTTGCTTTGATTAGCTTCTCTTCCACTATAATCAACCTCATTTCTTATCACCAGCCTGAGGCAAATGACATATTTAACACTTGCTGCACATTGATAAGGTTGACCCTATGTTTAACATGCTCAGGAGCAAAGTCAACATATTTTTCAAAAAATTGGTTCCAGTTAATCACAATAGACTATGAATGACTTAGAATGTTCTGCATTCATTTATATTATCAGCAGCAAAATGAAAAACTATTTTTTAGAATTATGATATTGCCAAAAGGAGGGGTGGAGGGCAAAAACAAGAAAACTGTTTGTCCAGGCAACAATTTGAGCTTTAAAATAATTCTGTTTTACTATTGCTAAGTATACTGGTAAGGAATACTTGCTGAAAACAGAACACAAGTTTCAAAGACATGCTGGCAGACTTCAGTAAACTTGTTTCTCAAGTTGCTTACACTATACTAATACAGTCTTTGAATCCTTTAAAGTATGGAAGTACTGGACTGTTTTAATCATCTGATTTTTATTTTTAACTTTACTTTTTTTTTAAAGCAGCAAAATGTTAAATGCATGGATTCAGAGACAAGCCCTGTAAGCTTGTCCTATTTTTAATAAGGACATAAATGTGAAATATACATTTTTGCCTGCAGCATTAACTACCATCACACAACTGAAGAAAATGCACATCTCGGTTTCTTCTTCTGTGCATTAAGCATTCTGAAGAACGGACACTATGTATTTTAGAGCAACTCAGATGCCTAGGAATCACAATGATATCAAGCATACTTCTAGAGTTAATGCTCCATTGAAGTGTCAAAGAGTATGTTAAAACAATTTGATAGATAGCCATCATTTATCTAAATCAGTGTCAGAGCAATGAAGCATCCTTCAAGTTTTTTTCTTAATGCAGAGAATGTGGTGGTAGAACTTTGCTACTTCATGCTGTTTCTCAAGACTTGAGAAACTGTTAAGGCATGTCACTGTCATCTATATTCTAAAATATCTTGTAACAAAACAGCATTTTTAAAAAATCTGCTCCCTTCCCTGCAAATCTTGAGCTCTTAACAGGTCCAGAGAGTGAGGAGATAATTGATGGCAAAACACAAGGGGTGTTCACAGTTAGTTTTCTAGCAAAAACAGGCACTTCTTAGAGCAACAAAGTAAAAAAAGATAGGTGGCAGCAAGGTCAGAGCAAAGAAATATTGCTGCTCCCCCCCCCCACTTTTTTTTTCTTCCAGAGAAAGAGAAACAGTTATGCTAGGCTACAATTTTAAATGGTGACTACCCTAAAAAGTCTAAAGACACTGCACAGCACTCTACCAGTTTAAATAGTGGTTCGATTCTAAAATACACATGCACAAAAATATTAAAAATGGGAAAGGGGCATTAAAAAACCAACGGACACATACAGAAAGGAAAATTTGCCCTTCCCACTATACTGAATGAACATAATAATAGCAGCCTATGTAACTGTACGGCTATTTACAGAAGGCATGAGACCAATACTGCAAGTGGAAAAGTGCAACACAGCCATGATTGTGCTCTTTTTAAAATGTTGCAATAAATCTGTATTCTGAAAATATACCTTTTTTTATCTGCATTCTTATATATTGACTGATTTTGGCAGCAGTTTTTTTATTTCGTTTCTCCTCCTTTTTGCATGCAAACAAATAGAAACGGGGAGGGGAGGGGGTTGAAAGAAAATAGTAGAGGGACCTACATTGCGCAGTGTGCCGGTGTTGCCACTCTGTTTGTGCCAATCCACTGAAGCATGCTTTCAGAGCCTTCTCCTGGAGCATGCAGGAAGACGGACTTGCAGTGTAGAAATCCAGCATTTGACCAGGGCTTACTGCTAGAACATCCATACAGTCAAACATGATTCCCCCTCTACAGTATGCCTGCAAAAGTGCCTTCCTCTAGGTGTGGTGGAAAATGGCATATAAAAGTACATCCAACTCCATCAAACTCTGCCCCTTTTTTGGCACGGAGGCTGTTGGTCTTTTTCCCAGACCAGAATCATGAATTATGACAGACAACACAGCTAAAAGCCTGTAATTGATCCAAATGATCATTTACCATTTTCCAGGCTGTTCAGCCAATCCAGCAGGGCAGGGGGGGAAACAAACAGCATTCCTAGTTCCAGTTGTCCTTCGTCTGTTCCCAAATCTGTAAAGGAGCCTTCTTGCCTCTTAGGCTCGCCTTGTTTCAATTATATTTTTTGTATCCTGTCTGGCGTCGAAGTTTTGCTGATAAAACAGGCTTTGCTAGGAGCTCTGGATCCCCCCTTTGCCAGTGAATAGATCCTTCTGCCTTCGAACAGCTCACTTCCTACTACTTGTGTCACACAGAATGAGAGATTGAATTGCTTAATATATGCGAGTGAACTTTCTATGAACCCTTCCCAGGCTGCTAACCTTCAAATGACCCAACCAGTCTGACATCACCAACTCCCAGGATTCTCACACAGCTTAAAAACTCCCAGCAGCCTTGCAAAATAATACAGGCAGGCACAGAGGCAGGGAAGCATTAGCTGCCGTACATATAATAGGGTGCCTTTGGATGGGAAAACAAATACTTAAAGAGGAATCTAAAAGCATATAAAATAGAAATAAGGGTTGCCTCAGGATTCTAAGCAACACGCTTTTCTTCGGCTCCTTCAATGTACACTGCTTAAAGTTTCTATGTTCGTTTTCTTCCCTCACACTCCTAATCCTTTCCTACAGAGATTCTTTGCCTCTTCTAGGGAAAAAAATATCAAACACCCTCAATTCCCTGTACAGGCGTCTGCCAGCTTCCCCACTATGCTGTCGAGAAGAGACAAAAAATGCGACATGCTTGCATTCTCCCTATTGCAAACATTAATTTTCTTGTCTGATACACAGGGGGAAAAGACTCCCAGCCCAGAATTAACGCTCACACATCCAGGCTTCACAAAGCAGTGAAATTCCCTGTAGCCTAAAATAGGGTTAGCTGTGCTTCCTAATTCAGCCTTCCAAGTTTCCCTATATACAGGGCCATGATTATTTTACGCTGGGAAACTGAAAGACACACACACGACAATATCGATATACATACACCCTTTCCCTTAATTTAGACATATTTATCTCAACTTACGAAAAAATACTATGTGAGAAAAATCCCTCTATGCACAAAGATGCTTTGCAATTCAGTATCATACATACACACACACCAGCATATTCAGCAGGACCCTGTGTCCTTGCTCTGAAACAAGGACTGTGTAACTAAGGGAAATGGAGCAAAGATACTGATGGTGGCAAAAACACAGATTTCTAAGGGCAACTGCAGCTCTACTTCCCTTGATAACATTTTAAAGCAACAGTGTCCATCCTGCTTTCATCTGTTAACACAAATGGTGTTGGTTTGTGAATGCAGGTTGTGTGCACTGCACCTGCCAGCAATTCCCAATAAAGCTCAATTTCTTAATTTTTTTTTGTAAGTAATAAGATGTACCAAATGATGCAAGCACAATTCTATATACATTCTGTTTAAATATGTTTGGTGCATATTTGAGAGAGGTAGAACAAGAGAAAATTATCTAACTGTATTATTCCCCACTACCAATGGCATTGCACTAGTGGGAACTCAGTTATGAGCCATGTGAAAGAGAATTCAGCTAAAACTATGGCTACACAAGCAGTTGCACATACACAATGTACAATTGCTTGCACAATAGAAAAATCTCAAGGAGCTCCACTATTTGAGTTTGCAGAACTACCAGTGGATGCCACTCATAGATACTATACATTGGATTGGATTCAGATTTATTCATACCATTATTTCAAGATCCTCAATTGAAATCAATAGGACTTGCTTTACTTGTCCTTTTGATTTCAAGGCTATCTATTCTAAGCATAATGAAGTCTGGATCCAACCCACTGTATTTTAATGTATTTTCTGTGACCTGTCCAAATACTTATGTTTTCAGGTGGGTTTATAAAGACAGTTTAAAAAACTCAATTCACCTTTTTAATACTAATAGGCGATGTGAGAATGCTAGAGGATACAATTGCTTTAACTTCTGTGACTACACAGGAGAGAAGTTCAATGTTGTGTAACTTCTCCAACAGTGCTAGTTCAATGAGAGAGGACACTAGCTGAAAACTCTCTACTGTGGCAAAGAACGAACTGATTGAGAACAGTGTTTCAAACAATGATACCCAAGTCTGCCCTATTGAAATCTCATGCCCCAGATTTGAATAAGGAGTATCATGTCCCTTCCTTCTAGCAACTGATCTTTCCACAAGAAGAAGGGATACAAGTTCTTAACAGAGAATGAAAAGAGGTAGCTGCAATTACAACTTGCCAAGTACAACAGCAGGCTAGATACCTTCCCATCAAGTAATGATAATTGTGCATAAGCAACTCAACAAGGTGCTTATTCACAGACAATGTCTTTGCTGCATCTTGCTATAAATTACAGATGTGAACATACACATGATTGATATAATTGCTGAATATCACCAGCTGCTTTGCCTAATGAGATTTTTGAACACCAGAATGGTTGCAAGAAGCAGTTAGGATTCAAAGTGGACCAGTAAAACCTATGATGAAATACCTGCTTAGAGACAAAACTAATTGCCTGACCTTAAGCCTGGCACAATCTCATGACTACCAACCTTTGCTATGAGATTGCAAATGGGGAAAAACACTGTGGCGACTGCGAAGGCTGCTCAGAGTTCCTTTGGCAACAGAACAGGATATACATGAACATATCATTCACCATGCAAAAGCCACTCATTTTGTGATGCTATGTATTCATCCAGTTGGCTCAGGTCTACCTTCCGTTTCAGTTTTCCTTGCAGTTCATGCCAGCAGATTGTGACTGGATTGAGACAACATGATAACCTGAACTTAAATGTTGAACATGGATTGAGTGTGGGTTGCTGTAGAACCATGGGTTGTCACTGAACACTGAGTTATCATGTTGTCTGAATCTAGGGAAGATGATCGTGCTGAGAAAGCAACAACAAACCATGGGTTCTCTTAGTGGGCTGTTTCTGGTTAACCAACCAATTGCTTATTAGCACCAATTACACGTTAGTTGTATTACGAGAACATAACCCACCTTTCAGCAACAACCAACAGTCCAACAACACACAGTCATTCCATCTTTGAACACAGTCTGAAATATTTTTTTAATTCTACAATTTACAAAGAAGCCGCCACCACACATTTCACTGAAGTGCCAGCTTCTTTCTTCTGTTTTCCCTTTCTCCTTTCAGAATGTGGCAGCAGCAAAGCATTTGCAAATATTTACAGGGCACATGCACATGTATGGGTATCCATCACAGAGTGTGATGTAGGATAATCTATATTAATTATGATTGTGGGAGATCACCTTGGCTATTGATTACTTTTAATAGTTCTGATATTATGGTGATGGAGCAACTATACGTGCTGACATCTCTCTGCTATGAAAAAAATAAAGGCATAGAAATCCTTCAGAGGATGGTAATTGTCTTTTTGGTAGTTGTTTAAATACTGTATCACCATCCAACCCAAGCTAATATAACTCCTATTTGTTACATTCAACTTTATGCTAGCAGAAGAACCAGCACAACTAGCATAAGTAACACCAAGTCTATTGAAGTAATAATGAATTATAAAACAACTTGTGGAATGCCAAATTTGCAGAAGCATTTGTGCGAAGTCTTATGTAATGCATTGTGCATTAGCTTGTCCAAGTAGAATGAAAGTATTGGAAATTATCTGTGTGTGAGAATAATAGGATTTAAGCAAGTGGGAAAAAGGAAGAGAGTCTGATGGTACAGAAATGGCATAAATGGAATGAAATGCAAATGAAGAAGGTTTTTATTGGATCTAGTTCAATGCTGTTAGTGTTCTGGGATCCTGATTCACAACATTTGTAACCAAAAAATATGGCATTCCCCCTGCTGTGATTTTAATTAAATTAAATGCTTTATCACATATGTTGATATGACTTAAGAATTTTTGTGAGTTGTTACACTGGACTTTGAATAGCATTTGAATCAACCAAAGTCGAGCACTGCTCTCTATTAAGATGAAAGCAAGCTTTTCATGCACAGTGGCTATCACAGCTCCAAGAGCTGAGTATTCTCACAAGAACACATGGTCCCATATCCCATCACAGAAGAGGCCTGTGATTCATTAAAAGCTCAATGACACTTACTTGCTGACTGGGGTTAGCAAAACTTGAATAGGAGAAGATTCAAAGAACATCTAAAAAAAGTTCTTTTGAAATGGATATATCTAAATTGAAAACAAACATCTTTAACAACTACAAAAAAAGAAAAAGAAGAGAAAAACCAGATGTAATCTGAAGGGCAGAGAACAATCTGGTAGAGGGAAAGAAATCTAAAGGCTTTTTAAAAGCTTCTTTAAATTGATTTTACTCATAAGCCACCTTGAAAGGCTCTGTATTCTTAAAAGATGGGATGTAAAGGAGTATAATATATAACCAATAATAAATAACTGATTTTCAGTCAGTTGATGAAACGAAGGCATTTTGAGCAAAGAAACAGGTGCTACATGTAAACAAAATAGCAGAATATCCATCCTGGTTTTGCTCTGCTTGTAACATTCTAGATGACTGTAGACTCCACTGGATGCAGGGATACCCAATAGTACAGTGCTAGAACACCTGCTGGGCTGTAGATTTACTCAGGTTCAATCTCCAGCATGTCCAGTAGGGGGGGTTGTAATATTTACTTAGAGAAGACCAATTGAAATGAATTGGACAAGTTAGACTAACATTGGATAGGATGCAGGGCTGGGAAAGACCCATGCATGGGACCTTGAAGAGCCACTGTGTAGACCAAGGCTAGAGAGAAGGTGTCTTCCAAATGATCAGGACTACAGCTTTCACATTCCTGTCCACTGGCCATTCTGACAGGGATTTATGGGAAAGTGAAAACATCAGGAGAGTGACTTTCTGCCCACGCTGATGTAGCAAATATTGCTCTAGATGAACCAATGACATGACTCAGTACAAGGCTATTTTATGCATTTATGGTCAGATGAAGTATTTTGAAAGGGGTGTATGAACTGGCTAATCAAGATAATTTTTCAATTAAAGGGATATACTTTGTCCTGTTGTTTTTATCTCGTTTATTTGAAAGCATGGGCAGAGACCTTTTCTGTAAAGGCCTATGTACCATTTTAATGGCTCTCCAAGGCAATTATTCAATTCTGAAGCTCCAATTGCACTTAACTGAAAGAAATATAGGAGAGCAGGTTGCTTACCTGTAACTGATGTTCTTCAAGTGGCCATCTGTGCATTCACACATATGGGCGCTGCACCTGTGCAGTGCCTAGGCCGAAAGATTAGAAAGCT